GTGGAATGCTATCAAGTCCTGGTCCCTTACTGACATTCAAGCGTCTTAAATACATAAAAACTTGAGGGACCGTAAAAGTGTCCCAACTTATACTGATCGACTGAGCCGAAGTAAAAATCTGAGTATTACGATTATGATTTGAACTATTAACACTAAAAGCAGAGCTAAAATAAGTATTAAATAAACCACATGTATTTGCCGAATCTAAAGTAAATTTAGAAACATTATGTCTGGAAGATCATTAGTTTTGATTTTACGAAAAACCAAAAGAATTTACTATGAATACTAATCCTATATTCAGCATTATTGAGAAATTTGTTATAAAAATCGTCCTCCATTAATTTTTGTCTATTTCTTAGTACGGTAAAATATTTGTAATCACTATCCTGTTTATACTTCTTTCACTTGCATTAAATTTAAATTTTTCATTTATAGTTTTAATCAATGCCCTATTATACCATATCAGGTACTTAGTATTAAATTTAATCGTTTTATTAGATACGCGTTTTTCTATTATATTGTTTAAAATTTTATTAAAATTTGACTTATAGACATCAATATTATCTTCACTCAAGTTAGTTTCCCAGACTATTTGCGAAAGATATAAATTTATTGCCTCATAATCAGCCCCTCCAGACAACTTGACTGTGCTAGCCCGAGCCTCGAGTAGTTTCTCATGTGATTTTAAAATCGTAAACACAAAAACTGGATGGTGTGAATCCTCTGAAACTATTGTAACAGTTACTAATATGACTTTGCAATTAATATTGGCTATTAAGATGTCCATCAAAAAGACGATTATATTTTTTTAAAATATATTATACTGATTTAAATTATTAAAAGAAAGAAAGTTGGCTAGTTCATTAACTGTATCTGATCAAAAGTCTTCATGTAAGGTGACATCAGCATGACTGTTATTCGAGCAGAGAGAATTAGGTGTATTTAAATATCCTTATAAAATAAAGAAGTCATCAGAGCAAGAGAACTTCATCAGAGATATGTTCGTAAAAGTTTGATATCACATCTTTGTGAATTCAACATAATTGCATCGTGTATGTCTTTCAAATGAAACAGCAACACGAATCACGTCAGTGGCTGAATTTCTAATAAATTTCTAGCTTATCAGATTTGGTCCAGTTTTATAAAATATTTTTATGTTGATATAGTGTTTTGTGTAAGTAGTTAAATTGTGAATTGTTAATTGTGATTGTGTGACAGATGGTGGGAATAGATTTTAAATAAGGAATATTAAATTTAAAAAAAAAACTAATTAGCTAAGATCTGCATAACAAAATTAAATGATTTGTATTACTCTGTCTCCGTCACCACCTCACATATCTTTAATATAATGGATTTCTGCAAAGTTGCGCCTGATTCTATTGATGATATTTAAGTAAAATTGGCTTAGCTTTGACCTCCTGCAATTTTGTAAATAACAATAATCGTCAAATAAACTGTTGCTTAGAATAAAATGAAAGGATTCAGGCATTGTCAAAATAATATTCTATTTTTTTTTTAAGATATATACAATACATTAAATTTATTGAATAATAGCTTAGTTAACTTATGAAGTTGCATTATTATAACACGCCATAATAGATAGCGACAACGATGTCATTGTAATTATAAACATAAAAGTACATAACCCGTGTACATAACGTTATAAATTTAAACAAATTATAAAGGTTCTGTAAAGCACCCGAAACGTCTGGAATTAAAAGTCATTCAAATTAATCGCGGTTTAACCTGTGCAATTAGTTTTATTCTAATTATAAATTTAAGATGTGAATTGTATTTACGATATTAGTACAGTTCGGACGCGACATCATGTGAGGTAGATTGGAACGAGCCATTTGCAGAAAAACGAGCCAATTACAAATAATAATTTACAGTACAAAAGTTTATATAATTATAATATATTATATTTTCCCTTGTTTCTTTATTATTCTTTCATAAAACATGATTTGACGCTAAATATAGTCATTTGAACATTTAAAAATGCGCCAATTATGCAACCTTTTGTTCTCTTATCTCCACCTATCTCTTATGCCATAATAGATGCGTATTCAAACAGGTTAGCTTCCTGTTTGAATGTATATCTACGACTATATAAGAAATTCAATTACTGTCCGTTAGTTTCGCTAAAATTAAAAAACAACGCGACCGATTTAGATTTTTTTTTTGTGTTTGTTTTAATTGGTCCCTAGATGGTTTAGATTTATATTTGGACTCGGTGGTGGGGGCCCTGTTGTCGAGATACAGAAATCACCCATGGAAACCCTAGCCTAGCCTAAAATATAAATCAAATGCTTGGCATCTTTTGAAGGAAGCATTTATGGCTTACATAATGATTTTTTATATTTACGCGAACACTACACATTGATTAAAACTACTTTTACGGATTTTATCGCGTTTAATTTTAATTATTTTTATTTTTAAATCCCGACGTTTCGGGACAAATCCTCGCGAAAGAACACCGATTCCTACCAAGGATGATACGTGAGGCTATTGAAATTAAAAAAACATCCTAATTTCAATAGAGAAGGAGGCTGGGTACTACCACCTGCTTGGGTCCCTACCTTAAGACCTTAAGACATAGTCAGTTCATTTTGCATAGATCGGACCATAAACAATAATTAAAAAAGCTGAACGTACTCCGGGCTTAACAATGACATCGGGACGTCAGTCACCTCAGTCGCCCGTGACAATGGGTGCTGGAAAGCACCCCAAAACGTCGGGAATTAAAAATAAAAATAATTATAAGTAAATGTGATAAAATCCGTAAAAGTAGTTTTGGCATTAAAGTGTATGTAAAAATACTTGGAAAAATGGTTTTCTTTTAGCGGTAAATCAAAAATATTAAATTATGATAGTAATGTCTATAAATGTATTTAATTCTAAGGAAAGTAAAAGTAAAATAACAACCTATATATGTCCTACTCCTGGGCACATACCTCTCGTTTCTGAGCCGGTTTTAGTGCAAAGAAGTATTTCTCAAACATGCATATTACGTGTATATAAAATTGCTATTAACAATCTGGCAAGGATAGAACCCGGGTTGTTTGCGCACTGTGAAGTTCAAAGCGAGCGCTCAGCCATCGCTCCTAATCTTCTACGGCTCTGATCCCAAATTATCATTGGCAAATTTTTGAAACTTCACAATAGCTTGTATGTTGTATTCCAGTTAAGACAATCTCAATTTTATATCCTCTCCAATCGGCATTTCTTCATCGCTCTTGACTACACGTTCGAATAGAAAACCGTATCTTCCGATACATAAAGCCGCTAGAGCGTGACGGTGTCGAGGAGAAACAGCCGTACAGTGATGATAGCAGTATACACAGCCGTGCTAAAACAATATGTGTGACACTTAAAACTGCTTGTGAGAAAGGATGTACACGATGACTTGAATTCTGTTTAGACTTTCGTAGTTTTTATAGCCCTCATAATCTGTTGCTTTATTGTACTTCATTAGAGATTACTGGTGACATATATCTAAATATTGTATGAAATCTTAAAATAATGATCAACTCATTTAATCAATATTAATTCTTAAATTCTTGCTCTTAAATTTGAAGGTCAAATCAACCTACTTCAGTCGTCCCCCTTTTACCTTTACAGTCTATTAAAGTCCACTGCTGAACATAGGCAATGTAAGAGTCCATAGATGGCCTTATAGAGAGAAAATTTTCCATATTGATATGCTTTGCAAGCGCGTTGGGTTTTTATGTTTCATCTTAATTAGGAAGACGCTGCTGCCCATCTCCTGATTAGTTTCCCTCAGTCGCCTCTTACGATACCCACGGGATGATATTTCGTAATAGAAAATAACGTAACTTTAGAAATTAAGTATAACGTCTAACCTTGCAGTCACCGTCACATTATTACTTAGCAACAAGTGAAAGTATACTGTTTTATTATCAGTTATATTGTCAATCTGTTTAAGCACCGGTCCTATTGTACCCTTTATGTACCAGCATATGACGAGTATTCACGACACTTATGTCACTTTATAAATATCACTTATGTCACACGCATTGCCTGTTAGTTTCACACAATGAGCTACAATCTGATTGTCAGCTCGTTTTCTGTTAGTTATATTGAATACGTAAGAAATAATAAACGTACCGTGCAGTATATATTACAGAGATCTATATTATGAATTAACTAATTAAAATGTGGTCATGATTGAATATGTTTAAGAAGTAAAGGTGACATACGAGCTAAACTAGTTCACCTGACAGTAAGTATGATTCAAAATATAAATGCGTTGTCAATTCTGAGCTATGAGGGAATGCCTCGTTACCAGTAAAGTAGTTCTCCGGTTCTTGTCACTCATCATACGAAAAACAGTAGTATTATGCTGCTATTTCACGCTGGTATTCTGTGAGAGTGTGAGCTGTCAACCAACTGCCAACCCATTCGTGCTGCAACCATAATACACTGTAGCGTAGTTTAACCATGTGCAAAACGCGAGTATAATTATGACAACGTGTTACATAAATTGCGATTTATATAACACGTTGTCATAATTATACTATTTGTTTGTTGTTTATTTTTTATTAATTCTAAGTCGATTGGAGATGGCCATGTTTCCGAGTTTCTCAGCATGATACATTCTATAAATTAGCATATACGCAGGAGTACCAGAATAACTAACGTAGCTCAACGCATCAGTAAGCTGTAATGGCAATGGGCTGGTCATATAGCTCGGAGAACCTACAACCGATTGGGTTTGCAAGGTTCTCAAGTGTCAATCTCATACCTGTAAGCTAAGTGTATAGCGGTTTCCCATTAGGTAGAGTGATAACCTGGTAGAAGATGCGGTATGTCGATAGATGCAGGTGTTCAGGACTGTGCGTTATAACATTCCTTGGGGAAGGCCAATAATCAGCAGTGGACTTGTAATGGGCTGTAATGATAATGTTAATGAAGTTGTAATTGAACCTCAGAAATTTTATTTGTATTCGCAATAATAAAGATATATCCTTTTGTTTCAGGTTATGAACAAATGTATACAATATCTCAACTATCGCCAAAATCTGCACTTAATGAAAGACTAGACCTAGATGATGTACTACAGACATCACACACAGAAAACTTAGCTTTTAGGATAGAACCTAGTGCTAAATTTGAAATAGATGTCGATATGGAACCAGAAGAACAGAATGAAGAAAATGAAAACCACATCATTGTTGCAAGATCTGCTGATCCAAATGACAGAGAATCACGATCTATAAATATTGATGAAATTCCTACATCTAATCACAACGAAATTGACAACGAACTAGAATTACATAACAAGAGAAAGTACTACGAAATTATTCCAACGAAGACATTAGATTTTTTACTCGATAGAAATGACGACGTAATGGTTATGTCGTCAGATACGTTTGGTGATAAACTTGATTTTAAATTTCCGGGGGAAGCCAAAAGGGTCCCGAAGGGGCGTGCACTAGCTCCTGCGGGACCCAAAATACGGCCTACTGCAGTGCAGCCGATTTTTGCGACAGCCAGCCATAAGGAACAGGGTCGACAAAACTCAGATATACAAAATATAATCACAGGAATAGTCAAGCTATTAAATGGAAACGTTAATGTGCAAGCTAATACACAACTATTAAATGGAAGACCAGGACGACCTATGGCTTCTAGAATAAACAATCGTGGGCCACCTAAAATATCAGATGTACCTCCGCTTCCAGATCTAGATCAAATCATAACGCCTCCAGCATATGCATTTCATCCTACGAAAACGCCACCTCCTTATCCTTTCGATCGACCTCCGTATCATGGTGTCAATTTACCTGAGCAAATTGTTCCACCAATGAGCTCTCATCGGCCAGGGTTCCATCGACCAATGCCTCCCTGGCAGAGGCCTCGTCCAAGGCCACCAAATAGAAGACCTAACCCTGGTCTGCCGATTTACAAGCCTACACCTCCTCCTGCGCCTATAGATATCCCGAATTTTGATGATGATAAGCCCGAAGAAGTGGTCAGTGAAAACGAAACTAGTCATTCTGAAAATAATATACACCATGAAGATAACGAATCAGTTCTTACGTTTAATTTTCCTAAAACAAGCACGCAAGAAGCTGAAAAAGATGAAATTCAGCTCACAACCGCTGATACAACATCATCTACATCAACAAGTACTACTACAACATCAACAACAACAGAATCTACAACAACTACTACTACTTCGACTACCACAACTACTGAGAAACCAACCGAAGCAGCTACTGAGAAACAAACTGAACCGCCTACTGAACAACCTACTCAATCGGCAACCGAGAAAATCTCTACGACAACCACCACAGAAAGACCTAAAACGGAAAGACCCGTCAATAACAAATCTGAAAAAGATAAGAAAAAAGACACACAATACAACACAGAGAAGGATAAGCAAAATAAAGACAAATCTAAAGTTGCAGATGAAAAGCCAATTGATAAAGTTTCTAAGAATTCGACTTCGGTTGATCAATTTATACAGCCATCAATTTTCGAAGTTACATCGACTACGACCACATCAACTAGCTCTGCAACACCGACAGAGGGTCTCATCAGTTACGCCCCGACGGTCAGCGAAATCTCTAGTGCTAATGATGCTATCAAAACATCATCTATAAATTCTCAACCATTACCGTGTAAGTATCACCTTACAAAAATACATTTTTACTTATAATTTCCGCTTACTTTTCTTAAATAAATGCATAGTTGCGATATCGAACATACTAGAAACTCTCACATAACGTTCCTTTTCTGCATTAACTAACGTTAGTGTTCCCCACTTCTTACAATAATTTATAATTTTAACAGATGGTTGTTGTTGAGCTATATAATAATAATAAAATTAAAACATTTTCAGCTTCTCAAGGGATACCATATCACCCCTATCGTCCCCGACCGGGCATCGTCCTCGACGACACTGACTTCAAGCCTCACGGCTCGCGGTACAGGCCCGACGCTTCGGTGATAACAGCACCTGAGCCACATCTGCCAGGCTATGGAGAGATATTTGATGTGACCGTATCTGCGATACAGGGTCCAGGAGAGAAAGGAGGTGCCTCAAGTAAGAAAACTTTGTATTTTTTTTGCTTGTGATAGTTTTTTGGGTTGCTTTCATACTGAGATAATCGCAAATTTTTTTTCAATAATCAAAATAATAGTTTTCAAAATTATCTATGGATGTAATGTATTTTATTAATTCCTATATGCATTTATCATCACCATCATCAATATCCTTATCATTATCATTATTGTCGTATCGAGATGTGACAGTTAGGAGTTAAGCGCTCGACGTAAATACAATAGTACGCGAGCAACCTGGATTTGTAAGGAAAAAATGAGAAAACCTGTATGCTTAAGAAAAAAAATATTTAGAAGTCATGCTAAGTCCGCCAACACGCGTTGAGGTAGACATTTGACATTTCCTTACCCGCTCAGAAATCAAAGGAGGTCTGTGCGTAAGAATGGAACGCATGTAGACCGTATAATATAGACGTGGTAGAGCCACGCTGCAGCTATATTAGTTATAGCACGAATAGGTTGGCTCGGTTGGGACCACGCTCTCACAGATTACCAGCGTGAAATAGCTGCTATGTTTCGTATGGTGAGTGTAGAGAACTGGATACCCTTTTTACTGGAAACAAGGCATTCCATCTTAGTCCCCAGGGGTGGCAACGTATTTGCATTTTAATTCTTAATCACGGATAGATGTAGATGTCTATGGGCCACAGCATCCACTTACCATCAGGTGAACAAAGTGTGTACCCGGTTGTAATACTCGTGTAATGTTTTCCGCAGTACACATAGAAAACTTGCACCCTGTCGGCCCCGGTGACCACGACGACATCATCGTGTCACCAGCAGGATCACAGGGCTTCGTGTCGATCGACGGGAAACGCACTTATCTCAACCTGTTCGATTCCACCACCACAAGCATTCAACCGTCACGAGTACAGCCAGTGCCGCACCAATCTTGTAAGTATACTTTGACACGAGGTTCGTTACTCACATTGTTAGCGATTTTACATTAAAAAAAAACATGTTATAAAATATGCAATGTTTTATTGGTAGATTTTGTCACATTTACCGTATTAAGTATTTTTAGTATTATAAAATATAAAGCTTTCTATTGTATTTTAGATGATTTTAGAATTTTTACATAATACATACATAAACACTCACGCCTGTCACCCAGGGGGTAGGCAGCGACTACAGACTTTCATTTTGCACGATCCTAACACACCTTTCTCGCCTTCTCCACATTCATTTACCTACGCATAAATCGTCGGTTAAGGGTACTCCTAATTAGTCCCATTTTTAATATACCGCCAATTTGGTCGAAAAACTTTCACCTAGGTTGTCCCTTTCCGACTCTTCCATAAATATAACTTTAATTTAATTTGTCACTCTTTCCTCATACAAAACTTGCACCCTGCCGGCCCCGGTGACCACGACGACATCATCATGTCACCTTTTCGTTCTTAATCCTGGTCACAGGATCATCATCATCAAACCACACTCTTTTTTCATCACACAATTTCTCACCCTATCACTCAGATTCAGCCCTAACGTACTCCTTAGCGACCGCATTTCTACTGCATTTATTCTACTCTCGTGCTTCTTCCGCCACAATCAATTCTCACCTCCATACGTTAAAGTAGGGACTAACACAGCATTGTGAATTGCCATACGTGCCTTTTTTGACACATTCTGACATTTCACAATAGAGTGTAGAGCTCCATTTACTTTATTTCCTTTTTTACCATTTTAATATAATAAAAGTGATAACATTTACGCCGTGTAATGGCGCTCTAAGAATATCCACTATCCCGTATCATCCCGTGGTGTCGTGAGAGGCGACAGATGGAAACAAATCAGGAGATTGCCAGCAGCGTCTTCCTAATAGCGAGCAGAAATAAAAAAACTTCAATTGCCAAACCCCCCTATGAAGCAGTCTATGGGGGATGTTAAGCTGTGGACTTTAATAGGCTTTAACTGATAACATTAAGCAAAAATAAAACGGGAAGCACGTGCGGTTTTAAATTAGACGATCACTGCCCTTAGAAATTAACTACTTACTTCATTCATTAATTTATTAAATACAATCTATCAATAGTTCACTTGTTGGACATAGACTTTCCACATCGATTGGTTTTTTTAAAACCGCAGTTTTTTTTTAAATTATTTACCTTTCTCTTTAAAAAAAATCGTTTCTCCAACACTAGGTCTTTCTCCTATTGTGGAGCCAGTTTACATACATAAATTTCACGAGGACTCCTTACGAGGCTTGTGCTGGAACCATAGTCGCACGCGGCATCGGTTTCCAACCATTCAAATCAGTAATACTCCTCCTGCAAATTCTGTTGTGTTAAATGTCAGTGTAAAATTCCGCAAGTGTTTTATGGCCTATAAATAATTGTTCTCTGTCTAAATGTTCTCCAGATGCAATTAATGTACTTAAAAAGCATCCACAGAGTAATTTTCTTCTCTACTAGTGGTGGGGGTAACTTTTTAAGACTGTAAACTAACAAACGATTATTCTTCTCCAGTGCCACCACAAATGCCACCGCAATCGCCATTAGGACCAGCTACCGGCACAGGCGTAGCCATCCCAGCAGATGATATACCGCAGCCTCCAACTTTACCACCACGTCGCACTCACCCGGTGCACACACGACCGCAGCAGCCTTACCGCAGACCGCAGCCTACCGTACGGTGAGTTACACACGTTATATATTTGCTACATGATATTGGGACTTGTGCCAGTAATAACATTTGGACTTGGTCCCCGGTGAGTGTTACACGTGTGCCATCACAACTATATAATAATATACAACTGAGACATGGCCCTTCACTCACTCGTCGTTCAGCGAGCTATGGAAAGGGCTATTCTATGAGTTTCTCTGCATAATAGACTTTGTAATTTGGATATCTGCAGTAGAACAGTAGCCTAATGGTAGTGGTCGTGGGTACGATTCCACCATCCTAGACAAACAAGCGCACAAGCCACCTGATTTTAAGTGGATGCTGTGACATCTACATCTATCCTCAGAAACGAATGCTGATGTGTTGTCACCTCTGAGGTCTTAGATGTAATGCCTCATTTCCTGGAAAAAGGCGTATCCGGTTTTCTGCACTCATTATACGAAACACAGTAGCATTATCGCGATCGAAAACTTACCTACAAACCATAGAGAATACAGGAAATCATATAATATTGGATGAGGCCTATGAGCAATAAATTACCATTACATCCTATAAAAGTTCAGCGCTGAACATAGACCTACCTAGGATAATTGCCATATTTTTTATAGCATAAGGGTGACAAGCGAGCACACAATCCACCTGATGGTAAGTGGTTGCTGTATTTCATAGACATCTACACATAGCCTCGTTTGCGAATCAAAATACAAATGCGTTGTCAGCCGGGAAGACTAAAGTGGAATGTATCTTTTCCAGTAAAAAGAGTTTCCGGTTCTCTACACTCACCTTACGAAGCACAGAAGCATTAAGCTGCTATTTGACGCTAGTATTCTGTGAGAGCGTGGTTCTTCCCCGATCCTACCTATTCGTGCTAAAACTATACAATTAAAATAGCTGCAACATGCCTCTACCACGTTTAAATATCATATGTCATATACTTGGCAGGCATTTTTAAATATCTAAAACTCTCGGAATAAATAACTAGCTAACGGCTATTAGATTAAACAGTCAAACACTTCAGTCCCCCTGGGACAACGAGTGCTTTAAGTACCAGAAAAGTCGGGAATATTAAAAAAATTGTACGCGATGAAATCCGTTAAAATTATTATTATTTAAATGTGTAGTGTTCGCCTAAACAAATAAATCATAACCATCAATACAGATAATATTATGTTACCTTTGTTTACAGAATTGATACGTGCATCGTTGGTGATGACTCTACCTGTGATCAAGCGCAAAATGAGAAGTGCAGGACAGAAGCAGGTGTGTACAAAGTATTTTTTATCCTCGTCTTTTCCTTTCTTCCCGTAAATTTCATAGCCAGGCATTGGCCAGAACCTGTAGAAAGGACTTGTCAGAACCCTCATACTCGGCTGGCGGATTACTATTGTAGTACCAGATTACCCGTAATTTTCACGGTGATACCTGTCGCTGATCCGGTTATTTATTGACATTTACAGCGTTAACGGAATGGTTACACCGCCATCTATCGGAATCCGTTTGATCTTTTTGCATATGAAACACAACCACATTAGTCTACTATTTTACGCTGGTATATCAGAATACCAGTGTAAAACAGCGTATACTGTTGTGTTACGGTCTAAAGGATAGATAGAGCAAGTATAATTGTAAGCTGCGATTCTACTTTAGTCTTCGGGGGTGACCACGCATCTGCATTTTGTTACTTAATCGGGTATAGGTGTAGTTTTCTATGGACTTTAACACGCATCATAAGTTGAACTGTGACTCGTTTGTCAACTTTACTTGCATTAATTACGAAAAATTATTGGTCGCGGATTCGAACCATGGATCAAAAACTAGCATTTTATTTCAGGCATCTCGAGTTGTCAGTGCAGACCGGGCTACGCTCGTAGGATCCACAGGGATCCATGTCGACGCGTTGTCTCCTTGCTGCTGAACTTGAGAGTCGACCGACTGTACGACAGGAAGGTAATTGTTATAAAACTTAACTTACAAAATTTGGTATTTGACACTCGTGGATTTAAACAAGACTGGAGTGTATTTTTGTACCTTTTTAGTTTTAACGGATTTTATCGCGTATATTAGCTTATTTTATATTCCCGACGTTTTAAGCACTTTACAGCATCCATGGTCACGGGGGGTCTGAGGTGTTCGACGTCCTAATGTCATAGTTAACAACGGCTTCCTCCAGATTAAAATAATTAATTTTTGTTCCGAAGCACGCTGTATAAACTTATAGTATCTTGATGTCTTGCGGTTGTATGCTTAGGTTGGGATTTAATTTTATTAATTATAGAATCTCCAAGCAGATAGCAGCACCCAGCCATCTTCTCTACTGAAGTTAGGTCGTTTTAGATTTCAATAGCCTCGCGAATCATCCGTGAAAGAAATACGTGTTGTTTAGGGAGGATTTGTGGTCTATCAAATCTGATGTAGTGACGAAGGCGATACTGTTCATGTTCATAGACTGCAGACTTACCGGAGTGTTCTTTAACGCGATTTATTTTATTTAACGCTATAATTCGTAGTAACTCGTAATTGTAGGACCGTACAGTGACTTGTCAGTGAAGTCACATTGCTCCAACTGAAAACCAGCACTGCCTTTGCAGCACAATGCTGAGTTGGAGACTTATTTGATATCACATTTTAATTTTGACTTTATTTTTCTTTTAAAATTTTCGTTTCATTATTAATTAGTGATGCACATAAGTAGCATGCATATTTTTTGCATCTTGCTTTTGTATATTTTTTGAAAATGTGTAAAATGCGTCAATGAAATAAGTAGTTCTTTCTTTCTTTCTTATTTATAATAAAAAGTACTAGCAATTATATTAACGTTACTAATAGTCCACTGCAGCTTGAAACGCGTGTGTTTTGAGTGGTTCACGACAATAGTCAAATTACGGATTTGAACCCACGACCTTTTGAGTTCGCAGTCTGCATTAGGCTACTGTCGCTTACTCTTAAGACTACTTTTCTACCAAGGAGTCTATCTGGGCAGCTTAACCAATGCGTGTTGACGAACTTTATTTGTTTTCTGTTTTTTAATTTCCCGGACATGCCAGTTTTTTCATCGTGTTTTCCTTAACCATTGAGTAGTAAATCAGCACTAAAAATTATTATTAGCATATCATTGGTTATTAGATCATTGAAAAAGGGTGAAAAAAGGGGAGCGTTGCGCTTTCTAATGTATCTGCTGTTTGGAATATATTAAAGGGTTGGGCATTGGTGCCACTGGGGATCAAATTCGAGTTGCTTGCTACCTGTGAAACTAACGTGGAGCGCTTATATGAGTTACGACGACTTTTCAAATTGAAACAATAGATTTATTTGTAATAAATGATTAATAATATTATAAAATGATGATATAAAGTGACGAAGAATACTAGATCATTTATTTGTTTGCCACGCTGCAGCTGTATTATGCTTGTAGCACGAATGGGTCGGCTCGACCGAGCGCTCTGTGAAAGCGTGTTTCTTCCCCGGTTCAGCCAATCCAAAACCAGCGTGAAATTGCAGGCTAAAAAAGATTTTCTTGAATCATAGCTAGGAACACTCTTGATCAAGTTACCTTTAAAACAAATAAGCTAAATCTAAATAGTATAAGATCAGGTACTGATACAAACGTTAAACATATAACACCCCTCTGTTTTTGTCTGGAGTTAATAAAAGAACTGGGTTTTACGATATGTAAAATGATAACAATAATTTTGTACGTGGTAGTGTCACGCTGCAGCTATATTATGGTTGTAGTATGAATAGGTCGGTTCAATCGGGGTAGGACCACGCTCTCAGAGAATACCAGCGTAACATAGCAGCTTAATGCTGCTGTGTTTCGTATGGTGAGTGTAGAGAACTGGAGACCCTTTTTTACTGGAAACGAGGCATTCCATCTTAGTCCTCAAGGGTGACAACGTATCTGCATTATGATGCTTAATCGAGGACAATTTTGAACTTACCACCAAGTGGAATGTGTGCTCGTTTGTCACCCTTATACTGTAAAAAATATTTTTTTTAAATATTATCGCGATATATTTCTATACATTTTAATACAGTAATCCGTTCTATTCCATTCGCCATCAGATCGCCTGGGACAACAAACTAGCGGACAAGGAATCGGAGCCGTACCAGCAACTTAGCTACGAGGCTGTTAGGGCTGTAAGTAACTTCTATTTTATATTTGCGGCTATAAGCCGACGAGGGGAACCATCTAAACTTAGCCAGCTGCGACTGCAAAGTCTGTTCGGCGAGAGTTGATAATGCAGGGTTCCTAAACTCATTATACTGAATGACCTTTTTAAGCTATTGCATAGCTTCTATCGCGGGCCTTGAGCGCGGGCACCGAATCCAGAAATTTATTCCGCCGTAACGAAAAAACCTCACGCTCCCCACTCCGACGGGCACGGAGGTGTGGCTTGAAGGCCGTGCATTGTCTAACGTCGTTTCTTTTCGGCAGTCTTCGACACGGTGTTTGTGTGCGTGCAACTAGACGTATTGTACGACTCTACGAAGCTCGCACGAATCGAGACGAGCTGCTCCGAAATTGGACGAATACATAAGCAGCTGTTTATGAGAAAGTATATAGGTGTATAGGTATTTATGTACAACAGTGAATAGCTGTACTTGTAAAATTTGTGTATAAAGTGTTTTGAATATGAATGAACAAAGTGCATTTATTATTTATTTATTTAACAAAAGAAAAAAAATTGTTTTCTTATCGGTCACCACGCTCAAAAAGTGTTACTTGAATTAATATCAAAGAAAAAGAAATACTGCATAAATAAATAAAAAATTAATTATAATTGCATAAGTTGATACAAAATGCTATGCAATAGCTTTACCGCGGCAGTCCCCGAGTGCCACGTCTTTTTTTACCATCTGGAAAAAAATAGGGTGTAACATGTGAACAGAGTAGAAATTTATTGTTTTATTGCCGTTTGTAAAGTAGGGTGGATATGATTTTAATTTCAATAGATTTAAATTAAATTAATTCAAAATTTTTGTTTTTATTATTTTGTAAAATATCAGTGCCATAGGCTTCTACCCCTTTCACGTGTTACACCCTATTTTTTTCAGACGGTAAAATAGATCATCAAGTATATTGTAGCCCGCTAGTTAGGCCCTTTGTGCACTAAAGTCGCGAGTACGCGATCACGCGTGTGCCACGGCCTTTCAACGGTCACGCACTAAGAAGCTTTTGCACGTGAAAAAGGGGTTTATATTCTGATTTTTCCATCAGACCTGGTATTAGTTATTTTCAATTCCTATTGAAATTGTATTATAAGAATTACTTAACTAGGTAGGCTATTTCAAAGTGAGAAAATAAAGATTATGTTGGTTGACGTAGGTTTTAAAATAGGTTTTATTTAATACAAATAATGCGCATCGCATTCTGCTCACACCGAAAAAGCCCCAGAAATAAAGAAATACATTAAAAACAACCGTAATTATGATGAAATATTGTTCATCTTTGTCACTCTACCAAAAAAAGCGTCAGACCAGTGTCAAAGGTATTTACAATATTTAAACTGACATAGGCAAATGTATAAAAAGGAGAAAGAACAATGCTATTAGCTAGCTCCTTTTTTTCGTAAAGTATTTGGAAACTCTTATTCTAGTGGCCATAGAGTTAAAATTAGATAAAAGTCGAAATATGAAACACTTCAACTTCATCCCACGATTGGCGTTACGTCCCACCGTGGAAGGGCTGACGCTCGAAGGGTTATGTTTCCTGATAGGTAATAAAAAAGCCATAATGATAATTAAATAATGTTCATACAAAATATTTTATATTGTACATTATTCGGACTTTACTATATCTAGTTTTAACCGCAAGTAATCGTCCATACTAAGTCATATAAATCTATGAATAAATCGGATACACCTAAGATTATGCAATCGAAATTGGCTGCACCTAGTTGTAGTTGATAAAAAAAAGGTGTATCCCCACTTCGGCTTTTAGCTGTGACATTGTTTAGGTATTCCACTCATAGAATAATACTATAATACTTAGTAGAATGGCTGTCAACCTTATTTTGTACGAGATTCGGCGTCGCCGGGAGCACACATACAAGCAATTATGTCGTATTATCACTACTACAAACCCGATTCGCTGTTTTGACAGACTGAGTAAATTTACATATTTTAGACTTTTGATTCATGATCATCAAAAAAAAAATCTTTTATATTTTAATAGATATTTATATGTAAATAGCGTGCAATTTGGTATTTTTTAAATAATTAGCATGTGAAATTTGGAAACGATTGTTACGTCAAAACACATCTCGTGTTGACATTTATACGTGTGAATTGACATGTTAGTTACATTTTAGTTGCTATACGGGCTCCACCCACTCTCCCGTTCTATTATGTATGTATTATAGTATTCTATGATCCCACTCCTAATTATATAAGTAGTTCATCTACCACCATGTATCTTCTTTTTCTTTTTCTTTACCCGATAAAAACCCACTGTAAGGCAAATCCATCTCCCAGTAAGAAGACTTTAATAATCTTCTTTAGTAATCTTCAGCTTAACACGTTGGCTGTTCTGGTTATCTTAGTTCTGGCGTAAAAGAAAAGGTTAAACCGCTATCTATCGGTAGCTGTAAGGTATTAACGTCAATACGTCTTTAAACTTGCTTCTATAGTGAAAGGCAGTTCAGAAAACTGATGATAACAAAACAGGAGAATATAGTTTAGTACCAGTTACATATCTATCATCTACATGCAAAATTTCCATGCTAGATGGAGTGACGACCTGGTAAGATATGCAAGAAGTCGATGGATGCAGGTGGCTTAGCACCATGCTTTGTGGCATTACTTGGGGGAGGTCTATGTTCAGCAGTGGACTTGTGAAGGGCTGTAATGATGATGATGATGACATGCAAAATTTAATTACACCACTCGACAACTAAAGGATCCAAGAATTCGATACGTTGTGAGTGAGGACTGTGACACATCACACACGGCGGACTGGAAATACCGCCATTTTAAAGTAGTTTCGTTACGCACGTATTCACGAAAAACACGCCGCCGTGTCCACGAGACAGACACTCAGTTTTATATTTTCGTCATATCCCATAATCGCCCAAGACCACGGGACAAAATCAGGTAATGGTTTTCCTACACTGCCACAACACAGCGTACTCATAGCGTTTGCGTTTGCGTTAGCATTGTGGCGGCGGTGTCGTCGCGCCATAAGGGAAACACATCGAAGCCTAAATCGCGCTATCAAAGTTCTGAAGTAAAACCAGTATATATAGAATAGCTCCGAGCTGTCACACGGAGCGTTGACTACTTCCCGGGTCGATGACCTTGCCCTTTTCCTTCTACGAACTTCCTTCTAAAACATAATTATTATATTCATTTTTCTTAAATACTATAGTAACGCTATTAATATTAATATTACTAATAGCACGAGCACCACTCTAAGTGAGCTTAAAAATCTTCGATCAACAATATCTACTAGATAACGGGTCACGTACAAAATCATAGCTAAATACTGTCCGCATGAATATAAACTATGAAAAGAAATAAATTAAATAACATTTAGTGTGAAATCAACCTTAAGTTATAACAAATAAAGTTCTTTTTCCCGTTATTACCTTGCGAGCTACACTCTCACGTGCAAGAGCTCACGTCTCATGTGCGCTCTTATTTACTGAGATGGATTTCTTGCGCCGACCCGACATCTAGTTGATATTATTGATCGAAGTTAAAAATACTTGTGTTTGCCGAATGGCGGATTCGAACCCACAACTTTCTCAGTCGCAGTCTGTACTGTACCATTAGCCTACAGTGGCTTAATCATTATACTCAATCCGTTCAAATAACGTTGAATTTCCAGATCGACTCTGCATTCTCTATGACTCCGTTCTCTGATGACTTCGTCAGCGGCTCAGTCAACTCCATCCACAAGGGCGACCAGCAGCATCAAGGGGTGTTTGTCAACTACACTGTGTTGGTGAGTTCCTAACAGATCAGTTTTATTTTATGAGATTTCTTTTGTGTATGAGTCACGAACGAGCACACAGTTCTCCTGATGGTGAGTAGATGCTGTGGCCCATAGACCTATATCTGTCCTCATTTAAGATTAAAAATGCGTTGTCATTCTTGAGGTATAAAATGGAATACCTAATGCTAAACAGAAACTTTTTTATTCAATATAGATTTACCTATATTTATATTACAAAAATTATAATAAAGAACTTAACTAAAGTAATAATTAAAATTATAATATTTACGATTAAAACTAATTATATACAATATAAAAGAAGAAAATATAATATAGAAAATCTAAAACTAAAAATTTAAATCGTCAGAAAGACCTGCTCCCCGTGGTATAGTGCTAAGAACGCTGGCTGCGTTTCCTCGCTGAATAGCTATACTTAGCCTTTGAGCGAGGAAAGAACCAGCCCTCTTATCACCAGCAGCGACGACCAGTCGTGGATACAGTTCCTTTAGAAACTTCATTGCACGTGGACCCCACGGACCGATAGTCTCTACAGCAAATGGCACAAATATGTAGTCATTTCTCAAAGACTCATATTTGCGCCATTTACTAAATTCGGGCTTAAAAGGGGGGCCGCCAAAGTGTCAACGCAAGTAGCATCCCACACTAGGGCTTTACTCTCTTCCAAGGGTCCCGAGTTTATTGCTGGTTTACCAGGACAGAGGTTTTTATATATATATATATATATATATAATAATACTTATTAAAGTCACTTTTTTAAATTTACCACTGGTTTGGAAAAAAACCTCTGTACTGGGTAGAACCAGCAATAAACCCAGGGGGGACTATTTTCTTTAAAACAACAGCTTACAATCATGTATGTTACAATTAATAACACAAACAAATTATACATAGCTTGGTAGCGATCCCCCTTCTCAGGGATTATTATCATCCATAAATCCTTTTTTTAAATTATCTCCGGTTTTCTACGCTCATTATACGAAGCACAGCATTAAGCTGCTATTACTCTAGTATGCTGTGAGAGAGAGAGAGAGAGAGAGAGAGAGAACGTGGTTCTTTCCCGGCTATGTCGTGCTCAAACCATAATGTACCTGCAACGTTGATCTACCTAGGAATTCGTCTTTCTAGGTACCACTCGCAAACAATGTGTCAGAAATCAAAAGAAAGTTAAAGTAGGTTAGTCGCATTTTTAGTGCTATACTAAAATGCAATTAAGATATACTTAACGGCCTATATTGTAGTTAATATTCGAACATAATGTTTCAATACTTACGTTAACTACATTTTTAGATTTTACAGAACAGTATGCCGGTGACTTCAGTCAAAAAAATTTTTACTTGCTTTTCAATCGTTGAACCTTTTTATTATGTTATGGTTGTTGCACGAATGGGTCGGCTCAACCGGGGAAGGCCGATAGATTTAATGACTGTGATTTCTTATGTTTACGCGAATACAACACATTTAAATGAAACCAGTTTTTACGGATTTTTCCGCGTATATTAACTTATTTTATATTTCGACGATTCGAGCACTTTACGACATCCGTGCTCTCGGCGGGAATGCAGTGTTCGACGCCCCAATGTCATACATAGTTAACCATTGCTACCTTCAGTTTAAAATTATTTATTTTTAGTCCTTCGAGCTTATGGCGGCTGTACACTCTCGATGAGAGCGCTCGCAATGCCCCTCGCGAGCCTCACGCACGAGAAAGCGCTTTCACAAGTATGACCTTGTACATTCTCGTTTATTCAGTTACGGTTAGAGATGGCGATGAGATGGACGCATGATTTCGGATGGATGGATTTTTGTCTTTATGGTAACGATGCGTGGGCTCCCACAAAATAGGTTCACTTTGATAAATTCAAGAAAATTGAGTTTGCTCTCTTGGTTCCACTTTATAAGGTTGTGGTGGTAGGATAACCAAATATACTGCACGCTAAAACATCTTGGGGTAGACTAAACGAGGCGCGAGTGTACAGAGACGCACTCGTGTCCACTCGCGAGGAAATGCGAGGCCCTTTGACTCGCGCAACAAAAACAGACAAGAGCGCGAGAGCACATGAGGCGAGGCGAGGGAAGGCAAGGCTCAGCGAAAGTATCCTGTACACTCTCGTCCTCGCCTTGTCTCGTGGGCCCTCGTCGAGAGTGTACAGCCGCCATTAGAGATATCTTGAAGTCTTGCAGTTGTATGCCTGGGTTGGGATTTAATTTTATTAATCGATTTAAAATAGGAGGAGGTATTCAATTCGATTGTATTTTTTATGTTTAAAGACATTTATTCTCATAAAGACATTTTATACGCCACTTACATGAGAACATAAATAAAAGTAAATCTAAATAACAAAATTCATTGTCGTACCTATGTTGTTGAAAAATAAATAACATCAAAAACAGCTATTGACGGGAAAAATCTATACAAATAAAAGAAAAGTTAAATTCTAGTATACACTATCACCTTAGCACCACAATACTAAGACCAGGAACAAACCAGTCCAACTCACTCAGATAGATGTTTGTGATTATATGATTCGCTAGTCGCTTTTTGAATACATTGAACGAGTCTACATTTTTTATTTCCGAGGGTATCTTATTAAAAAGGCGCGAACCTTCGCATGTAATTGTGGTCTGGCCGTACTTTGTTCGAGTTTTGGGCAAAACAATAAAGCTTGCGCGTCGAGTGCAGATGCGCCCAACTTTTTTTCGCTTGGTGAATTGCAGATCCGTGCGGACCTTCTTGTTCATGGATTTGCGAATAAAGATACATGTGCTGTAGATGTATAATTGTTTGATATTCATCAGATTCGTCTCTCGGAAAATTTTTGAAGTTGATGTTCGGAAATTGTAGTTGAATAGCTTTTTTATGATTTTATTTTGTAGGATTTGTAATTTGTTTAATCTAGTACTGGTAGCGCTTCCCCAGACCTCGATGAGATATAACAGGTGTGGTTTAACTAGGGCATTATATATTGTGAAACGTAGTTTCTGTGGTATGTATCGAAAATTAATCCGAAGTAAGGCTTGAAGTGACATTAATTTGGTTATTAAATATTTAATGTGAACTTTCCATGTTAAATAGGTATCCAAATGAAGGCCAAGATATTTTTCATTAGTTTCTTCTTACAGGTGAGAAATTAGGTATAGGTTTATTTTTTGCTTTAAATACTATGTAGCTAGTTTTGGAAATGTTGATAGTTAGTAAATTGTATTGTAACCAATCGCGAAGAATGTCAAGGTCCTGCTGGGCTTGAGAGACAAGATCATGAATTGAAGAGCCAAAGTAAAAGAGACAAGTGTCATCGGCGTAAAGTGTGATATTGCCATTCAAGCCCAACTCATGCATATTGTTAAAATAGACTAAAAAGAGCAGAGGACCCAATATTGAACCTTGTGGAACTCCATAGGTTATGGGTTGTGGGGGACTTTGAGAACTACTGTCTATTTTAACGACCTGGGATCTATTCGTGAGGTAAGACTCAAACATTTTTAAGGCTATGCCAGTAATACCAATGACTTCCAGTTTTTTTTAAGAGCAGTTTATGACTTATGGTGTCAAACGCCTTTTTTAAATCGATGAATACTCCTAGTACGATGTTTTTCTTATCAATGTTTTGTTTGATTTTAGTTACCAGATCAATTGTAGCTGTGAGTGTATTACTTTTAGAACGAAATCCGTACTGTCTATCAAAAAAGAAATCTATAGAATCTAAGTAGTTTTGTAGCCGTGTATGTAAGACTTTTTCGAGAATTTTTGATAATACTGGCAGTACGGAAATTGGTCGATAGTTGCCCGGTTCTGTTTTTGGTCCCGATTTGTAAATAGGTGTTACTTTGGCTATTTTAAGTGAGTCTGGAAATGATCCGTTTTGTAAAAGTTTGTTAAAGTTTTTCGTTAATGAATTTATTATTAAGTCCTTCACACACTTGATAATTGTATTTTTTTATGTGTGTTACCTCGTAACTTTTTTCTAGGTTAACCAATTTTAATTATTCTTTTTCTATTTGAAAGCTGGTACATTTCGTGTGGTCCCGTATAGATTTTATCATGTTCTGACTAGTAGTTTATGAGTTATCCTTAATAATGCGTATTTAATTGATTTCAAATACATTGATAACGTTCTCGTTTTATTTATATTGAATTCGGTTGTACAAAATTTTACCACTTGTTAATGATATGATCCTAAGCACATGGTAGTACCCAGTCATCTTCTATATTGAAATTAGAACGTGTTTTAATTTCAATAGCCTCGCCATCCTCCTCGGTAGTACTTTAGCGAGGATGTATGTTTCAATGGAGGCTTGCTTCAAGATGTAGCGGTAAATGTTGATTATGAATTCCCATTTAGAGTTCATCTTCCAAGGGATTCATAGCTTTACACGCTGCTTAATGTGTATCATAAGTTACGTCTTGTAAGTCTCGTATGCAAAAGATGATATATAATATTTATTAAAAGTCCCAGTTTACATCTATTAAAGTTGCACAGTAATAAATAACACAAAACTAATATACTATACTAAAAATAAATAATTTGGTAACGATGATATCATTCCCAGGGGTTATTACCATTAAGATGTGTTGTGAAGGTTTGTAATGATGATAATGATAATCATTACCTTTTCAGATGCAGGAGACGGCGGAGACTTTGCGGGCGTCCGTGGCGACGGAGATACAGAAGCACCTGCTGGGCGTGATCCGGCGCCGCTCCAACAACGTGGGCGCGTCTGCGCTGTGGGTAGACTCGCCCGCCGGCAGCGTGCTGCCACTGCACGGTGAGCCCACTGTCCACTGCCCACTGCTGGCCATACGTTCCATTAGATACAAAGGCACCTGCTGGGCGTGATCCAGCGCCGTTCCAACAACGTGGGCGCGTCCGCGCTGTGGGTGGACTCGCCCGCCGGCAGCGTGCTGCCGCTGCACGGTGAGCCCACTGTCCACTGCCCACTGCTGGCCATACGTACCATTAGATACAAAAGCACCTGCTGGGCGTGATCCAGCGCCGCTTCAACAACGTGGGCGCGTCCGCGCTGTGGGTGGACTCGCCCGCCGACAGCGTGCTGCCGCTGCAGGGTGAGCCCACTGTCCACTGCCCACTGCCCCACTGCCCATTCGCACCATTCACTTCCACAAACTGCAGCTTAAACTTACAAAAACAGATTAAACCCCTGAGCTACAACGACTTCAATTTACCTTTGTACTTATATTATCGTTGCTGTGGCGTCTGTTTTTTTTTACAGATTAAGAGTGACAAATAAGCACACGGTCCACCTAATGGTAAGCGAAAACGTAAAGTAGAAAAAAAAACGTGAAGTTCGGAACGAATTATGAGTCAAGCTCACGGCGCCACCTACCGGAAAGGGCAAAACAACACCTGCCGGGCCAGCTAATATTGAATAAAAATTATCGTAGTGTTTTATATAAAACTATTAAAATTTAAAACTGCAACTAAAAACTATTAAAAATAAATGGTATGCCTCTTGCAGACGTGGACGAATGTGCGTCGTCCGAGCTGAACGACTGCCACCACCTCGCCACCTGCACCAACACGTGGGGTGCTTTCAAGTACGTATTGCTTTCATTGTATAATGGACAGGTGCTTTTGAGAATCACGAAGTCTTTAATTCCGTCGTAGTCTGAGTTGGCTTCCCACTAGATGGAGTGAAGATCTGGTAAACCATGTAGAAAGTTGATGGATACAGGTGGCTCATGAACGTGATTTTTTATAGGGTGACAAACGAGCACACAGTCCACCTGATGGTAAGTGGTTGCTGCGGCACATAGACATCTACATCTATCCTAGATTACGAATCAAAATGCAGATGCGTTGTCACCCGTGAGGACTAAGATGGAATGCCTCGTTTCCAGTAAAAAGGCTCTCCGGTTCTCTACACTCACCATACGAAACACAGCAGCATTAAGCTACTATTTGTCTGTGAGAGCGTGGTCTTTCCCCGGTCGAGCCGAACATTCGTGCTACAACTATACTACTAAGATAACTGCAGCATGGCTCTACCACGTAATAATTGTAGGATTCCTTGGGGGAGGCCTATGTTCAACAGTGTATTTGTGAAGTGCTGTAATGATGATAATGATGAAACTCAGTGTGAGTAACAACATTATAAAAACGAATCCCTACAATTATCCTATTCCGGATACTCTACATTAGTTTTATTCTTTCGAAGTTTAGTTTTCTGAAGGTTTGACGTCTAACGCATATGAACTGCATAAATTTTTTCATTCTATTTCATCGCATTAATATGGTATGTATAGGTGGCGATGTAAGAATATGCAATACCGATGCAACACCCCATAATTTCCCGTGGGTATCGTAAGAGGCGCCAGAAGGAAACCAAGACAAAAGATGCAGCATCTTCCTGATAGTAACTCGAATTATAACTGATAATAACCCGCATGCCAACCGTGGTGACTATGTCAAATGTCTCCCATACAAGGGCAATCTGTGTGCGAGCCTGTGTTCAGAAGAGGACTTTAATAGCCTGCAGCGGTAACGGTAACGGATACCCTGCATTCGTCTCATTCTCTCGAAGTTTATTTTTCTGAAGGTCTCATTTCTACCGCGTATGAACTGCATAGATGTTTTTTATTTCATTTCATCGTGTCAGTACTAATGAACCATTGTTTTTACCTGGCCTGTGTTTAGGTGCGCTTGCCCCGACACGACGCTAGACGCGGCGGGCACTTCCAGTGTAGTGGGCGCGCGCGCGGGCCGCGAGTGCCGCTCCTGCGCCGCTTCGCACTGCAGCGAACGCGGCGTCTGCCGCTACGCGAACGGACAGCCCTACTGCAGGTACACACGCACACGTACACGCAGGTGCGTTTACTGCGCTTGTCCCAACACGACGCTAGACGCAGCGGGCTCGTCTAGTTACAAACAGACCACCACGGTGGTCTGTTCCGCAGGTACACGCACACGCAGGCACACATTTACACGCACACGCAAACACATGCACAAACGCACGCACACGCACAAACGTGCACGTACTTACACACATACACACGTGCCCGCGCACACACATTCGCTACACACGAGTTTGAAGCAAAAGTACTGGTACTGGGCGCGAATTGAGGATAACTCCTTTTCATTACAAGACTTATACAACAAGTAGTTATCAGAATCAGTATTCAAACTTATAGTAATAACTTTACTAAAGAAAACTCGATCATAAAAAAATTAATTAAATTTAAATAAATGTTTATTTGTAAATTGTATGTGGTTTTATTACCTCTGCATTAGCCGAGGAGTATTGTCCACAACCGCGTTTTACCAATGCGCATGTCAATTAGTGGCATACGTAATCTCTACATAGTATGAAACAAAATCGCTTCCTGCAGTCTGTACATTGAGATCTTTTAAACTACACAACGGATTTTGATGCAGCTTTCATCAGTAGACAGAATGATTCTAAGGGAGTATGTTCTCGAGTTCCAAAAACCACTCATGCGAAGCAGGGGTGAATCGCTAGATTAAGTATCTGCATATCCTGGTGTGTATTTCAGTCATAATATGGGTTACGTATTAAGTAGTTGAAACATATTGCGAAAGTCTTTGAAATTTAGCTACACACATTATTATAATATTTTTCTTCATTAGCCCATAAAAGTTCACTGCTGAGCATGGAACCTGTTGTGGGAAAGATTTACTTTAATTTACCTTGATCACCATTCACCAAGCATGATAAGCGGATCAGCGATTGCTATAAAAGACGTGAGCACTTCTAGCTTTTCACACCGTTACTGATTTGAGTAAGTTTACGCCTAGCGTAATCAGTAATACTCTCTTTTTACACCTTACAGATCAGATCCAGACATTTGTGATAATTCATGCTAACGGAACGAAATGAGGTGATGGGTACTTTTACATCGACATCACATCTATCCATTATAGCATAATATTCACACAGTGTAATATTAAGTCTACTGTTGATTTTTTTTTTAAATTTGATAGAGAGCAAACAAGAATGTGGCTCACTTGATGGTAACTGATACTGGAGTACCGTCGCAGATAAACAATTGCAACACCAGTGAAATTGTAAAAGGCTCTTTTCTTGAAGGTCTCCAAGTTATATCAAAGCCCTCTCCTTAGATTGTCCCCTAAGGGCGATTTTGACATAGTTCCCACGCTTGCCAGGTGTGTTAGCAACCGCGGTTTTATATTTTCTAATTGTTATAAGGGAGATGTTGCTATCTATATACTATTGGTTTATATCCGTTTGTCACCGCTTACGACACTCAAGGGACGGTGTGGGGCAGTGGATATTTTTACAATGTTATTATAAGATCAACGAACTATAATTTAAATTATTGTGTAATGTATATTATATAGTATGAATTAATATAGTAATTACGTCGATGTTTCTTTTTTTAAACTTAATTTGTACTGTATTATATGCAAGTGAATTTTATTCTTTTGGGAAATAACGGCTTTACATAAATTAAGTATCAATTATAATTGTCTCTTTAGAGAGAAGTTCTAAGGATTTTCAAATTCATGAGAATTTTGTAAATAGGGACTGAAAATGTCTTCAACTGTAATCGTAAATTAAATAAAAAGTTTTGGAATATATCATAAACATCATCAAATCCATTTACAAATCTACTGCTAAATAGAGGCTTTCCTTAAGGAATGTCGTTTGATGCATTTCTTGGGCTGTGTAGAAAAGTTGCTTCTTTTTCTTGTCGTTTAATTGTTAGAGTTCGGACCCGAGTTGTTCTCGTACTGTGATATTTAAAGCGAGCACTTAACTCCTGAGCTACCACGGTCCCCCTTTTTTGAGTTTTTTTTTTAATGTAAGAGGAGGTAAACAAACATGCGGCTCACCTGATGGTCGGATCATCGTCGCCCATGAACATCTGCAACACCAGAAGTATCGGTGGTACGTTAACAGCTTTTTAGAAAAGAGTAAGATCTTTTCTTGAAGGTTTCTAAGTCGTACCGGTCCGGAAGACCGCTGGTGACAGTAAATCACACAGTATGATCGTGCGAGGTATAAAATTCCATATAAATCGCACAGTAGTGGACCGTAGTGGAGTGGACAGTGTGACGGAATTTCGAGTTCTGGACGTTCGAGTTCGGATAAAATAAAATGGTGTGCGTGGGTTGCAGCTGCTCGTCGGGGTACTACGGGTCGACGTGCGAGGTGGACGGTGAGGTGGTGGGCGTGGCCGTGGGCGCGTCGCTGGCTGCCGCACTCGTCATCGCGCTCACGCTCGCCGCGCTGCTGTCGTGGAGGTGAGCTCTTTGTCTCGCTCTGTGTTAGCTTCGCAAATCCAACAAACGGTGAAGCGATTTATTAGGTGGTAGAAATGCTTTCCTGCCTAGAAGTCCGTCTAGATAAGCACCAAATTCATACATATTTCTGAATCCTAATAGCAGTGCGTGCATTAATGTGTCCGGACACATTTTAAGGGTAAAGAGAGTAAATTTTTTGTAAAATATAATTTTGAACAGAACAGTGGCGGAAACAGTTGCTGATTCCCTTGACTAATCCGAGGCCGTTGACTGGGTTTCACATGCTAGCTTTTTGATCAAGCTTCCAGTGTACGACTTTTGGCCTGACTGACTGGGTGAAGGACTTTATGAATAACGGACTCTCCAACTTATCGTCGATGGCTCCAATCCTATGGCGACACATATCAGAGTTCCTCAGGGGTCCCTTCTCTCCGCTACTCTCTTCCTGTTGCATATTAATGATCTTATGCCCGGTATCTATGGGTATGCAAACCGCAGCACAAGGTACCACGCGAATGTTCGAACCAAATGAAATAAAATCCAGTCCGAAAGAGAAACTACGGTTGAGTGTAAGAATCTCTCACTGCGGACAGACTTCGAATGAGATGGTGGAAATCTTTTGAGTTTCAACGCCTCCCAAGCACAAGCGTATCTCTTCACCGCTGAAAGGAGTGCTGACACCTACTTTCCTTTGTTTTTTATCTTTGAAGTACATTAAACATCAGAACCTGTTTTTCTCTTGTTTACTTCTCGCCCCGTTTAACAAAAAGTAGTCTAGTCTTTCCCAGCGGACCACTGAAGATGAGGAAAAGATTCCTTTTTAATTATATTCGATTTTTGGTACTTTAATGAACAAAGGATTATTATAAATTAAATGATTACTTAAAAGATAAGAATGCGTGGACACAATGAGCTTTCTTAGTTTTTATTGTCTTGAGTAGTCGTACTATAGTAAACGCCAAATACATTTTATTGAATTACTCTAAAAAGTAATAATTTTTTAAAAATCCCTATGGACAGCCCAGGATAATGAATAGGTGATGTCATTTATAGTATTTTGTGCTTGATTAGATACATCATGACCTCTATGAAAACCGGACCTCGATGTAAATAAGAGATACATTTGTGATTATTTTTAAATTGAGAAAATGTAAATTTTAGATTTAGGACTTGATAAATTTAAGGTATAAATATTTTAACTTTGACTTTGTTCTTAGTCGCAAGTGGTCGCGCGAGCAGAAGGCTGTAGGTATGGGCTCACCCGTGTTCAACTACATGGCGGCGAACACGATAAAGACCCCACCCGTCGGACAACCGCCATATCAGGTAAATATATTCCTTTGTATAACATGTTAAAATTAATTAAATAATTAGGTATTAATGGTGGGTACCATTACTCTTAACACCACTGGCTGGTGTTGACGGGAACAATGCACGCAATAGAGACTTATTATTTAAATTTTTATGTTGATCTTAGCTAATTAATTTAACAACTTTTTTATTAATTTAACGATTTTTCTATATGTTATTATATTGAAAATAGCCTTCTTAGGTGTAGTAAGGCACTATAAATACAAAAGTATTTGTCGGAAGACTTAAAACAATGCTTTTTGTTTGGTGGCTCTAGAAAATGGGTTTTAATTATTTAATATTTTTAGATCATTGCTTTGAAAAAGAAAGTGTGCGACGGTACTAAAAAATCGTTTGTGGTTATCAACCAAAAAGGTATTAACCCTCTATCTCTGGATGCATTCGCAAAAAGTAGCATGGAGCGTTTAGTCTTTGCTTGCGGTGGATCTGCAATGAATTCAGTGGATCACCTTACTGAGGACTGCTTTAGGTATGCTGGATTAGTGTATGAGCATATTCTCGGCGAGGAGAAATACACTTTTGTAGAGGAATGCAAAAATCCCCAGTCTGTGACTATCCTAAGAATTTAATTGCCGGAGATGCATTTTTAAAGAAATAAAAATGAAACAAAAGAAAGTTATAAGTCTTAGAGATTAATAGCAATAATTCATTAAGTTCATTATTAATTACAGCTCATGAAAAGTCTATAAATTGCCTTATATTTGTCAGTATCCGTAGTTATATTTCCCATAGTTGCCACGTTTGGCTACGGGTTAAAAACCGCGGTTTTCAATTAGTTTGTGTTGTTATCCGGGAGATGCTGCTGATCATTCCGTTTCATTTCTCTCAGTTGCATCTTACAACACCCGTACATTACTACAGAAATACATTCACTACGTTTTTATCAATTTTCTATACGCTGCGCTGGTTGAAAGGTATATAGCTGTTTCTCTTTGAACTTGTCCAGTATCAGGCCTGCTGGAAGAAATTTCAATATGAAATAAGCAGAGCCTTTGTACAAAATATCTTTTTATTTTTCGTTGTAACATTACTTCAAGCATAAAGAGTATTTTCGTAAATGTTTCATGTGGATTTTGTTTACCAGGTGTCGATAGAGGAGCGGATGAGATGGGCGCAGATCGCCGAGGCGATGGCGCAGGCAAATCACTACGCGGTGAGCTACTTCAAATCAATTCACTCAAACGTTTATGTGGTAAAGCCATGCTGTAGCTATGTTATGGTTGTAGCACGAATAGATCGGCTCGACAAAGGAAGGACCACGCTTTCACAGAATATATTGAGTGAAGAGAACCGGACATTCATTTACTGTGAGACATTCCATGTTTATCATCAAAGTTAACAACGCATCTGCATTTTAAATTGTTAAAGAAGATAAATTTAGATATCTATGTGCCACGGTATCCACTCAGCATAAGATGGGATGTGTGCTCGTTTATCACCCTTATTCTACAAAAAAAATATATATATATGTGTGTAAGTATCATCATCATCATCATCATCATCATTACAGCCCTTCAAGTCCACTGCTGAACATAGGCCTCCCCCAAGTAATGCCACAAAGCACGGTCCTGAGCCACCTGCATCCATCGACTTCCTGCATGTCTTACCAGGTCGTCACTCCATCTAGTGGGGGGTCGCCCTACACTACGCCTACCGGTACGAGGCTGCCACTCGAGAACCTTTCTTCCCCATCGGTTATCAGTTCTTCGAGCTATATGGCCGGCCCATTGCCGCTTCAGCTTACTAATCCGTTGGGCTATGTCGGTCACTCTGGTTTTACTGCGGATATCCTCATTTCTGAGTCTATCACGCAGTGAAACTCCGAGCATAGCCCTCTCCATAGCTCGCTGAGCGACCTTGAGCGTCCTCATACGGCCAGTGGTGAAGGACCACGTCTCAGATCCGTAAGTCATCACTGGCAACACGCACTGGTTATACACTTTAGTTTTCAGAGATTGAGGTATACCTGACGAGAAGATGTGTCGTAATTTCCCGAACGCTGCCCAGCCGAGTTGAATCCGTCGATTGACCTCTCGGTCGAAGTTGGACTTACCTAGTCGGACTATTTGTCCCAGGTAAACCGTACTCGTCAACAACTTCGAGCATAGTGCTCCCAACAACTACCGGCATAGGTGTGACATAGACATTAAATATGATCTTTGTTTTGTCCATGTTCATTTTAAAACCTATCCGTTGGGAGACACCATTGAGGTCATTGAGCGTAGTGCTAAGGTCCTCCAGCGATTCTGCCATAAGGACTATATCGTCGGCAAATCGAAGGTGAGTGATGTACTCGCCATTGATGTTAATACCGTATCCTTTCCAGTCCAGTAGCTTGAAAACGTCTTCCAACGCAACGGTGAAGAGTTTCGGGGATATAACATCACCCTGTCTTACACCTCTCTGCAGTTGGATAGGTTTCGTGCTCTGGTTCTGTACTCGGATAGCCATCGTAGCCCTACTGTACAAACACTTCAGCACTTCAATATACCGACAGTCAACTAGGCACCGCTGAAGAGACTGTAGCACCGCCCAAATTTCGACGGAATCAAAGGCTTTCTCATAGTCCACATACGCCAGGCAAAGCGGCAGATTGTACTCTTCGGACTTCTGTACAATTTGCCGAAGGGTACGTATGTGGTCTATGGTACTGAAGCCTTTTCGGAAACCGGCTTGTTCGGGAGGCTGGAAGTCGTCGAGTCTGTGTGCGAGACGATTCGTAATGACTCTCGAAAACAGCACGTAGACGCGGCTCAGAAGGGAAATCGGTCCGTAGTTCTTCAAGAGAGCGTTGTCGCCTTTCTTAAAGAACAAGACCACCGCGCTTCTGCTCCACGCCTCCGGAGTAGTGCCACCATGGAGGATGGAATTGAAGAGCTTCTGAAGGACTTCAAGGTTCCACCCGCTTTCAGAAGCCCCGCTGTAATTCCATCCTCGCCCGGGAACTTGCCGTTTTTAAGGTGGTGGAGAGCCATTCTAATCTCGCTCAGACTGACGTCCGGGATATCATCGGAATAGTGTCGGATAAGACTTGCTCTTGGATCGTTACTCACACTTGCGTGTGGCTCCAACGATGATGTGTACAGCTGCCCATAGAACCTCTCAATCTCACTCAGAATCTCAGGTGTCCCGGAAACGATGTTGCAACACTCAGTCTTCAGCCTTGACAGTTGGATCTTTCTGGCAGACAGATCTCTGGCAAAGACTTTGGAGCCCTGGTTCCGCTCGATCGCTTCTTTAATACGAGCAGTATTAAAGTTGCGTAAGTCTCGCCGCATGCATTTGGAGATCTGTCTGTTCAGTTGCCTGTATGCTGTCAAATCTGTTGACGATTGCAGCCTCATTTCCCATCTAACAGCCATGAGATTAAGAGTGTGATCGGAGAGTTTTTGTGTTCTTCTGCGGCGGGTCTTGTAGAACTTAGCTCCGACCGCATGGACAGTTTCCCCGAGCTGTCATTCATCGTCCACTGCATTGCAATCCTCTAGGCACTGAAAGCGGTTTTGTAACTCGAGCTGAAAGGTTTCGGGATTCTGGATTAGAGCACGAGGGGGACGGAGCGTTGACTTCATTAAACGAGACCTCTCCAACTTAACATTTAGGTTCAGTGTGCCTCTAACCATTCGGTGATCGCTGCCAGTTTTCACCCTTGCGATCACTGAGACATCACTGAACAGTTGGCGTCTGGTCGTCATAATGAAGTCAATCTCATTTTTTGTCGAACCGTCGGGGCTCGACCAGGTCCACTTCCTGTGGGGCCGCTTCTGGAAGAAAGAGTTCATCATAAAGAGTCCCTCTTTCTCCATAAAGTCGGCCAGCTGCTGGCCCCTTCGGTTCCGTTGCCCTACTCCAAATTTCCCCACCTTCAGCTCACCGCTTTCTCTTGTGCCTAGTTTTGCGTTGATGTCTCCCATCAACACCGTGTAGTGGGTTTTGGAGGAATGCATGGCTCTGGAAATATCCTCATACATTTCCTCCATTTCCTCCTCATCGGGATGTGCCGAGGTTGGTGCGTAAACCTGTATGACCTTCAGCGAATACCGTTTGGTGATTCTGAGTATCAGGTACGCGACCCTCGTTGACACACTCCCAATCTTTACAACGTTGTTGACGAGAGACTTGTGGACGATAAATCCGACACCTCCTTGGGACAGATGGTCGCCCTCCCGGTGGTAGAACAAGTTGCCGGACTCGAGGATTGCCGTATCCTCCCCCTCTCCAATAATATGCCAGCGCAACTTGTCTATCTGATATAGTAGTAGTAGTCTAGTGTATATATATATATATATATATATATATTTTTATATATGTATGTTTTTTTATATAACAATTTCAAGACTGCCGTTCACTTCTGCAACATAGATATGCTTTGTCGCTCTTTCCTCGTTTATTCTTTCTATATAACCCAACCACCGAAGCATTCCTTTCCTTATCCTGGTCACAAAATCATCTTGCAAACCACACTCGTCTCTTATCATACAAATTCTCACCCTGTCATTCAACCTCAACATCGTAACCATAACTCCCTAATGATTGCATTTCTACAGCTTTTATTCTACTCTCGTACTTCTACTACCACATCTAACTTTTACTACCATTGATTAAGGTAGGGAATAAAACAGCATTGTGATTTGCCATACGTGCCTTTTATGACACATTCTGACTTCCCACAGTAGATTGTAAAGCCCTTTTCACTGTATTTCCTGCGTTCACTCTTCGTTCTATATCCTTATCTAACATCCCTGCTAAATACACAACCCAAATACACAAACTCATCCACTTGCTCAACCAACTCACCTTCTATTCTTATTTCACTTTCAAATAACTTTATTATCTAGCTATCTTTTAACTTTATTATCTAATTTTATATTTTATATATGTATATAGTAAAGTTTAAAGTTGCAGCCTATATATATAGTTGCGTCCCACTGCTGGGCACAGGCCACCCCTTATTTCTGAGAGAGTTTTAGAGCAAGCAGGTGTCCGCCGCGTTGCCCCAATAAGTGTCTTTTTCTTATTTCTCAGACATGCAGGTTTCCTTACGATGTTTTCCTTCAACGCCAAGCACGTGGTAAATCAGCACTTAAAATTGCAATTAACAATTTCATTGGTACCGGCGGGGATCGAACCCGATTTACTCGCGTACTATTAAATTTACAGCGAACGCTAACCATCTGAGCTACTACGGCTCCAAAATTAGATAATAAAACGTGATAAATTCTGTATCACTTAATTCAATTTGTAGTTTTCATGTTAAACGTAAAGAAATCACAGTGGACGTTTAACAAAGGAGTTAACAAAGGATTGTTTGGTTCCAGCAGCCAGACCCCGGGCAGATGGCAACAAGGCCATCCTCCGCTATGTTCGGCGGATACCCCACATTACCGCCCGTGCCTCTACCCAGGTGACACATTTAGTTTATTAACACGCTTTGATAATCTTGACTTGCATGTATTTATGTATGATTTTTCAGGCAGAAATCGCTAAAAGCGATATGACCGCCGTTTGTTGTTCATAAGTTTTCCGTTATGTTTAAATGCAATAAAGAGTTATGTTTCTTTCTATCTATCTAAATATGTATGTATGTTTGCTTGTATGTACTCGTAAGCATATTTGTATATATGAATGTAATGGAATTTTATAATACAATTTTCACTCACTTCCGATTTTGATAAAATTTTGCAAGAATCGATAACAATACAATAATTTCTATGATTTATATGATGTCCAGTTACTCTGACTCAAGAGAGTTAATGATTTCGTCATGGGGCAGTGTATACGCTTTTACAACTAAGTTCTAGAAAATATGCAAGACTAACCTGTCAAAAAATTAAAAATTTTAATTAAGTTAAAATTGATGACATAAATGATTTTCACAGAGTACAATACAACGTCATAATTATGTATTCTCACATGAATCATCACAGTTCTCTGCCTCCCTGTTTCTTCTGATTCTTTCGGAATAGTCGAATATTTTCCTTTGAAATTGTTGAATTCTTGTTTAATAGTTTTTTCGCGAGTATTAAAAAGTATTGTAACACCGTTTTAAATCACAGAATGCACGGCGGCCATCATACCGGGACGCTGAATACGGTTGCCTCGAGGGCTAACACCGCTACCTCACACCTCAACATGTACGGTGAGTAATTATAGTTCATTGGCATATATTTAAAAAAATAACTACTGTGTTCTTCGTAATGTCAGTCGCGTAGAGTGTGAAAAGGAGTGGGGATAGGACATAGCCCTGTGGGACCCCAGCCCTTAAAAATTGTTTATTATCAGACCAAAAGTTTATTAATATTGGTAATAATTGACTTAAAACTATGGTGTAAGTAAATACCGTTACATATTGCCAGAAGTCTACTGCTGGATATAGCCCTCCCCATAGATTGTTCATACAATACCAGTACGATGTCCGCCAAAATATATGACAGTCAAACACAAAAAAGTCGAGTTGTATCGCGGAGTGAAACAAGGGAATGTTATATCTCCTAAACTGTTTACAAATGCACTGGAAGATGTTTTTTAGATGCTAGACTGGAAAGGACGCGGCATTAACGTAAAAGGTGAGTACCTCTCACATTTAGTTGTGCCACACTAACGCGACGCGTTTTGCGTCTGCGATGAGCGGGGGACATAGTACGTGTTCGCGCGTCTTGCGAATTAATCAAAACATGTTGATTTTTCCGCGATGCAAAATATAAACACGGAGACGTTTATTAGCGAAATAATGTCTCGGTCTGCAATATAATATGGTCTATAAAGCATAAAAATTATATGCATAATATTATATTTCTCAAAAATTATGTGGGTTTTGACGTATTTCATCATACAGTCTACGATATTCACCAAACTGATGCCTGTTCTTAGTTTAAATCATGAACATCTATTTTAAGAACTACTCCCTTCTAGACATGATACTGCCTATTTAGAAAATCTCATTTTTTACCCGCGCAATAATAGCAAGAGGAAACCACATGCAGCCGCCTCAACGCGGCATACTACAGCGACAAGACACAGCTTCTTCACGCCTCCCGCCTATGCAGGTAGCCTCCGCTCCCCGCAGTCGCTTTAGCGTAGCCAGCGTCTTAAGCTCTGCTGATGATGTCGTCATGGCAGAATCGTTGCAAGAACTTAGGTGGTCAAATTGCAAACTTGACATGCTGAACACACTGAATGAATCCTCCCGACGTTTTGGCCTGTGCATTAATCTGAACATGACAAAAGTTATTACAAGTTCAACGATCACGTCATGCCAGTTCCAATTACTGTTGATGGTGAAATTCTCAAGGTTGCCCATCAATATACCTACCTCATTAGCCGTGGTGGCTTAGATGGTTAGCGCTCGCTGTAAATTTCACAGTAGGCGAGCAAACCGGATTTGATACCCGCGGGCACCAATGAAATTGTTAATTGCAATTCTAAGCGCTTAGTTTTTGGGCTACCACTGGCGGTGAAGGATTGATATCCTTCGCCGCCAGTGGTAGCCCAAAAACTAAGCGCTTAGAATTTCACATATATTTTATTTATTTAATTCACATATATAATTCACAATGATTTGTGAGGAAACCCTCTCAGAAATGAGAGGAGGCCTGTGCACTGCATTAGAACGTATATAGACTGTAACGTTATACTTACCTCGGGCAGATATTACAACTAGGTATTCAACTTGGAGAAGGAAGCCGATCAGAGAATTCATTTAGGCTGGGCAGCATTTAGAAAGCTCCGTCAGGTTTTCTTGTCGCCCATACCGCAAAGTCTGAAGACAAAAGTCTTTGACCAGTGCTCCACAAGCTCAAGGTCGGTCAGCAAGCGATGAAAAGAGCTATGCTCGGAGTTTTTCTGGTAGATAAAATTCGAAATGAAAAAATTCGCCGGAGAAAAGGATTACTGACATATCCTTCCGTGTTTGTAACTGAAGTGACAATTGGCTGGTTATGTCTGTAACAAAAGTGACAACCAGTGGAATAGACTCTTGGCAAACGCAATGTGGGACGCCCCCTGACCAGATGGAACGAAGATCAGCGCAAGGTGGCCGGTAGAAAGTGAATGCGTGTAGCCGAAGATCGGGCTGCTATGTCCAGCAGTAGATACTGCAGACTGATGATGATGGTGATGATGTTACTATTTCATACCGTCACGTGGGTGCTGTAAGAGGCGACTGAGGGAAAAATATTAGATGGGCACCAGCATCTTCATAACAATTGTTATCAACGGAAGACGCTCCTGCCAATTCCTGGTTTGGTTCCCTCTGTCTCCTCTTACGACACGTGACGATATTGTGCAGTAAACTTCCTTACATCGCCACTAGACGGTTCACAATATTGTGTAAATAAATATTATTATTGTTAAAAAAAGTGTTGTCAAGTTTCAAAACATGCTCATTTTAGGGCAAAATTTTATTGAAATAGATTTTTTTAATTCATTATTTAAATGTTTTGTTTATTATATTTAAAATACGTATTCATACATACTTTTGGACCGGACAGAGTTTTTTAACATGTTGTATAAAAGTAAATCTGTCACCATGTTGAATGATAGTTGTGTGATCTTGCAGGCTACACGAACCACTTGGCGGCGGAGTCAAGCGGCTCGGAAGCGTCCAGCCACATGCAGGAGCGCACCGACCTGCTCGTTCCTCGTCCCAAGTCACGCGCCAGGAGCATGCACGTAAGTCTCCCCCCACCCCTTTATTAGTAAGTTTAGACATAGGATTTAGGTTCTGCATAAGAGTTTGTCTGAGCGGTCTCACATTGATAACTATTTCAGCAGAAACATGGCACTGCTTATACTGCTGTTTTTTGGTCAGAAGGTCGAACATAATTACAGGTTATTCGGCCTTAACTCTTAGTTCTGACGGGTGACAACGCATCTACCTTTTGATTGTAAATTGATGGTAGATTGAGTGTCTATGGTGTAGAGGTATGTGGTAGAGCCACGCTGCAGCTATGTTATGGTTGTTGCATGAATGTATCGGCTCGACCGGGGAAGGACCACACTCTCACAGAATACCAGCGTAAAATAGTAGCTTAATACTGCTGTGTTTCATATGGTGAGTGTAGAGATCCAGAAACTCTTACTGGAAACGAGGCATTCCATTTCATTCCTCAGGGGTGACAAAGCATTTGTGTTTTGATTCTTAACCCAGGATAAATATAGATGTCTATGGGCCACAGCGTCCAATTACCATCAGGTGAACTGTGTGCTCGTATGTCACCCTTATTCTATAAAAAAGTGGACTGCGTGTATGACTGCGTACGTATGTACCCTTACTTTTGTAAAAAAAACTAAGTAGATGAAAAGCCTGTCTAGGTATATTTGTTGCGGATCTGGATGTTAAGGTGTAGTTGAATTGTAATTGAATTCCTGTGTGGTGGTTAAATTTTTAAAGACAGAAGGCCTTACCTCTTAGTTCTCAGGGGTGACAACGGATCCGTAGCTTTATTTGTTTAAAGTTGGTTGCAGATACCATAGGCCGCAGTAGCCACTTACCATCACGTGGACTATGAATACGTTGGTGACTTTCAGCCTTATGACAAAACGTGGTTTATTTATAGTCTCGGGCTTAAACTAAGGCTTAAGACGAATTTTTCTCACAGGTAAAATCTCTCACGGCACCACAGGAGAAATTTGATATTCACTATCAAATTCCAAACGTAACACTTTGGTAGACTTTTTTATTGAAACAGACTCTTGTTTAAACCTGAGACCGATTATAAACTTAGTACTTTTTGTAATAAGACCGTTTTATCCGGACGGCTCCGTTCTGTACAGTCACAAACCGTTAGATCCGGCACGGAACGAGTATTTTTGTATTTGTACTGGTCTGTATGTTTGTCCATGTGAAACGCCTCCATAATACTACATAATATGCGAAATAGAATCTCCTATGTCACTTAAAATACATTTAAGTATCATGGATATAATTTAAAATCAAAGCCTTATCTTCGCTCGTTGGCGATGTTGTTACAAATAGAAATGTAGACAAGACACAATTATATTTTACAAAGACTTCTATGTATGCTACTATACCGGTAATTCAGACCAAAAACTACACCCAAACCAACCAAAAACGGCACAGTAAATATGCCACGCAGTTTTGTTTTCAATAACGACCTATTACTGTTTTTAGGCAAATACAAAATAAAGTTAAATGCTTATCTGAAATAAACTTCAAATCACGTTGACTAAGTGCAAAGATAAGTAACACATTAAACAAAACAAAATTTTTGACAATGTAGTCCAAATAAAATGTTTGCGGTTTACAAAACAAAGAACTAGTCTTTTCGCCCGCTCGCAGTTGGCTAAAGGAGTTACGGCGAATTGACCGTAACTTAGTATGTATTAAGGCCACAGAACCTGTCGAGTAGTATAATAGGTCGGGGAAAAAGTTTCTTCGTATTTTGTTTGTAAAAATTTGAAGAAAATTCTCTTTGGTATTACTGTTTGTATCTGGCTCGTTTTAATGTCGATACATATAAGACATTAAGAAAAAGAAAACGAAAATAAAAAACACGATTTCCCGCTATTTTTTAATTGCATTTCTGTCCGCCAAAATGAGTGAATCTAATGAAGAAATTCGATACATTCTGAAGTTTTATAACAAAAAAGGAAAAATGCTACTCAAGTTTTTAAATGTGACATTTCGGTTACTTTATAGCACCCATGGTCACCTGGGTGTTTATCTCCCCCCCCCCTCCCGTGACCATGGGTGTAAAATTAGTTTAAGTACAGTCGTAAAATTAGTTACATTTGAAATATTGTGACGAATTCTCATCACAGGCACAACTCGATGAACCCCCATAATCTAGTATTATCTTTGCCACAGAATCAAACAGGCATCTACTACGACGTGGAGTACGAGAACGCACCTGAACCCATATACGGCAGCAAGGGCATACCGCTATCCACTTACACAGTCAGCAGGGGTCCGCCATTTTACAGGACATAGTACATATAAGTATCGTAGGCCCCATGCAATCTTGTACCTTTTCATATTAACGATTATTTAAAAAAAGTGTAAGAACTTTTAGAAATCTTTCTCTAACATTTTAATTTATCTTTGGTACACAATTATGGCGTGTTGAACATATACACTTAACGAACCGTTTACGTTTTATGGTATTATAAAAATGTAAAATGTCTAAAATAACTTCTTAATAGGCTTTTATTCTTTGTAAAAATGTAAAAAAAGGTCCCGTTCTCTCGTTCCCGAGAGGTATTTGCGCGATTTTATGTTTTAAATGTTTAAGTATGTAAACAATTGATGAAAACTATAACGCGATATAAATCTATAGAATATATCTATAGATATAATCTATTAAACTTTAATGCATTTTTTTCGGCTGGAGGCCTTGTAGCCAATGCCACATTAAATAAAAAAAATTAATGAGTGTTGTCATCACAAAAATATGTTATTTACTTAATATAAAATGCGAAACGTCTATTTTTATAGATTGATAAAAACTATTTTAATTGTAATCAATTGACTATTGTAAATATTGTAGGTTATATTAACATACTTACATCATTATATTAAGGCGAACTTACACTGCTTTATGGGCCGTCGACACGTTGCATAAGAGATGTAATTTTTTCATCGAATATCTATAGACTGAAGCTTGTAGGACTTAAGAAGTAATTTTCAACAGTTATTTTTAAGTGTTTGTGTAATTATACAGGTAGATTAATTAAAATTAAGTATGCTTAATGCAAATTGAAAAATCTACCATGCTTGTAATAGGAAGATGAATTATACAAAAAGCTATTACTCTTACTTAACATAATACAACTGTTTGGTAGTGCAACTTTATTATTTGGTAGACACAGTTTGATACATTTCTGAGCTGAAAACAATAATTTTTGTATTACCTAAGAAACTGTCAATTCTATAGCTCCATAAGAAGTATAAAACTATATAGCTAATTTTTTAAAAGTTTCTGTCTGTCAGAATTTGCTATTATGGTCGATAGAGCTTAATAACAAGGAGATATTAGTTTTTCGATGCTTAATTATTTTTTTATATGAGTGTTTGTTGTTCCCCTCCAGCTCCAGCTACAGATTAAAACCTAGTAGAAGAATTACGGAAATTTTTTTTATTGTGTGCAACACAAACATTTGATTGTAAGTATTTTTATTACTAGTACTTTAGGTTAAGCTTTATTAGAATAATATTTTACTGTTTCTGGTAACATAATCCGCCAGCCAAGGGTGGTTGCGACAGATGTCGCTGCTAGTTAGATAAATAGAAGTCGTAAACAACGTAGAAAATAATTTGTTTATATCGGACGTATGCGGCAAGACTGAAAGAAATTTCGTTGTATTTTTATCCATTTATGTATCCGTACAAATAGTTAAATAGACATTCGTACCCAGGACCTGTCTTTCTTATCTTTGTAGTCAGTTATCAAGACCATTGAACTATCTATAACTAATAAACCATTGTTTATTGCAAGAGCTTTTGTCCGACATAATATAGTAATTGGTGGGCTGCTTATAATTCATACTAATTGTACATAATATATATATATATATATATATATATATATATATATATATATATATATATATATATATATATATATATACGAAAGACAATCGAATATTTGTTATTCAATGCGACTAAACGTATTAATATAAAATTTGGCAAACAGATAGAGCATATACTGGATAAGCTTACGGGATATTTGACCAAGGTAAAATTGCTTATTGTTAAAAAATGCCACTGAGGTGTTTTCGTTTCCATGCGTACGAAGTTGCGGGTAGACGCTGGTAACGATTAAATGTAGTCAATGTTAGAGTAATCGAATTTGCATTTATATTGTACATTTTAACTGATTTTTATGTGAGCTATATATATTGTATGTCGTATATTTTTATATTGTTGTAGAAATAAAATATAGTACATATATTATGGAAAAATTGTTTTATTTTTCACTACTAATTTATACCTAACTTATAACTTACTAGATGGCCGGAGGCCCAAATTTCGCCCCCCACCCCATCAACATGGTAGCGGAATCAAATGTTAGACTACCCCAGGAGGGTACCAGCACCCCTGAAGAATCCCTCGCTGAGCATCCACGACCAATTTCCTCCACTCCTGAGCGTGGGTGCTCAGACTGCCCCGTGTATTCTGGTGGGGGCAAAATTCCGCTCAAGCCTACAACTTGTCGGGACAAACGGAGCAACAAGACGAAGGCAACCCCTGCTCTATCCGTGAATTTATGCTATATCAGGGGACTTCACTCTAACCTAAACGCCGTCCACTACTATCTCGAGACGGCGAGACCGGCTCCGCTCTTTCTGACCGAGACGCAGGTGTCCTCTCCGGCTGATGTCTCGTATCTCTCCTACCCGGGGTACAAATTGGAACACTCCTTTGTGCCTCGTGCTGGAGTTTGCGTATACGTCATAGAGGACATCTGTTCTCGACGCCTCGGCAGTCTTGAAGGTTCGGACCTGTCCATCCTTTGGATACGGTCTTGATTTGCATATGGTCTGACACAACTAGTTACTTCGTCTACCCGGATTCCAGATGTGGGGATGCACCTTCTCTGTTGGAACTTCTACTAACCTCTCACCCGGACGGATATCAGATTTCCATCGACGCCCCTTTAGGATCCTCGGACCATGTCTTGTCCGAGTGTGGTGCCACTTACGCTGAAATCGCAGTTGCATTCTGCAGGGTGCCGCCGTGTTTGGCACTATAGGTCAGCCGATTGGGATAGGATGCGGTCTTTCTTTGCATCCTACCCTTGGGGGCGGGTTTGCTTCTCATCGGACGATCTCAACGTTGTTGCTGATTCTGTCGCTGATGTGGTACTTCAGGGTATGGAACTTTTTATTCCATCCTCTGTGGTGCCCATCGGAGGTAAGTCTCAGCCATGGTTTGGTCGCTCTTGTAAAATAGCATCATTCTATAAGCAGGAGTGCTACCAAGCCTGGGCTGACGCATATACGTCCCGGGATGTTAACACCAGCACTCTAAAAAAGAAGTATAATTCCGCCTCCAGGTCCTTCAAAGGAGTCATGGCCAAGGCAAAGTCAGAGCACGTAGGCAGAATTGGCAAGAAAGTTCGCCTTCCTTCTAGAACCCGTGCAATCTGGTCTCTCGCCATGGCTGTCCAGGGAAATTTTTGTCAGCCATCTCTTCCATCTCTGCACAGGGAGGACGAGTCACTGACCCATACCGCAAAGGAGAAAGCCGATCTGCTAGGCTCTTTCTTTGCGTCCAACTCGACTCTCGGTGACGGGGGGAGTACGTCGCCGACCATCCCGCGGTGTGAGTGCTCCATGCCGGAAGTGCAGTTCACTCAGCGCTCAGATCGCAAAGCACTCCTCTCCCTGGACATCCACAAGTCGAGTGGACCTCACGGAATACCCCCAATTGTGCTGAGGACGTGTGCTCTAGAGTTGGCACCGGTTTTAACGCGTCTTTTCCGGTACTCCTACTCCCAAGGCGTAGTTCCAAATTCTAGGAAGACAGCTTTTATTCACCCGATCCCTAAAAAAGGCGACCGCCATCGCCTTCTTGTTCTCCAAAACAATGAAAACCATCGTAAACTGCCAGCTCATGAAGTACTTTGAGGATCACCAGCTGATTAGTGATCGCCAATAGGGTTTTCACCGTGGTTGATCAGCTGGTGATCTGGTTTACCTAACTCATAGATGGGCGGAGGCAGTAGAGTCCAAGGGGGAGGCATTGGCCGTTAGTTTGGACATTGCGAAGGCCTTTGATCGGGTTTGGCACACAGCGCTTCTTTCGAAGCTCCCTTCCTATGGGTTTCCCGAGAAATTGTGCAATTTGATCACCAGCTTTCTTGCAAATCGGAGCATCAAGGTCGTTGTAGACGGTGTAAGCTCCGATTACAAGCCTATTAATGCTGGTGTTCCACAAGGCTGCGTACTATCGCCAACGCTGTTTCTTCTGCATGTCAACGATATGTTGCAAACCCATAACATTCATGGCTATGCAGATGACAGCACTGGTGATGCTCTGTACACCGGCCGTGCCAATATTTCTCGGAAAAACGTCTCTGAGTACCGGGAAAATCTTGTATCTGAAGTCGAGTCTTTGCTGAACAGAGTCTCGGATTGGGGGCGACTAAATCTAGTCCAGGTTAACCCTCAGTAGATACAAGTTTGCGCGTTAACCACTAAAAAGAACCCCTGTGTCGTATCTCCTCAGTTTCAAGGTACTCCTCTTGTTGCCTCAGCCAGTATCGGAATCCTCGGCGTCGACATATCGAGTGACGTGCAGTTTCGTGGTCACTTGGAAGAGAAGGCCAAATTGGCCTCTAAAAAGCTTGGCATGCTCAGTAGAGCGGGACAGTATTTCAAGCCGGCATACCACCTGCAACTTTACAAGGCGCAGGTTCGGCCGCACATGGAATACTGTTCCCATCTCTGGGCTGGGGCTCACCAGTGCCAGCTCCTTCCACTTGACCGCATCCAGCGCAGAGCGGCTTGAATCGTCGATGACCGAGTGCTTTCCGATCGGCTCAATTCACTGGCGCTACGAAGAGATGTTGCATTTCTTTGCATTTTCTTTCGCATGTAACACGATGAGTGCTCTGAGGAATTGTTCGGATTAATCCCAGCTGCCAAATTTCGTGAACGCACTACGCGGCAAACGTCCCGATACCATCCACACCATCTGAATGCTTGGCGGTCCACCACTGTACGTTTCACAAGGAGTTTTCTTCCGCGTACGACCTCTCTGTGGAATAGTTTACCACCGGCGATTTTTCCGGACCGATACGACCTAGGGACTTTCAAGAAAAGAGCTTACTCCTTTCTAAAGAGCCGGCAACGCACCTGCAATTCCCCTGGTGTTGCGGTTGATCATGGGCGGTGGTAGTCACTTAACATCAGGTGAGCCGCATGCTCATTTGCCCCTTATTCTATAAAAAAAAGATAGTCCATCTGACGATAAAGGTTTTTTGGGTG